GTGTGTGTTGTGTGTGTTGTGTGTGTTGTGTGTTGTGTGTGTGTTGTGTGTGTTGTGTGTGTTGTGTGTGTTGTGTGTTGTGTGTGTTGTGTGTGTTGTGTGTGTGTGTACCCGCTGCGGGAGGGGAAGCGGGGGGTGGGGGCGAGGAAGACGCGGCGGGGGGAGGCGGCAGGCCGGGCAAAGGAGGCGACAGGAGGGGGCAGAGGGAGGGAACGGGAGGGGAGGAAGGGGACGAGGAGGGGAGGAGGAGGGGGGTAGGGGGGGGGAGCGGAAGGGCGCGAGGCCCAGGCGATCTGCTCCCGCGCGGCACAGCTCTAGCCCAATCTACAACTGCGCGCGGTGGACCCAGCCCCCAGTCAGCCCTTCAGCTGAAGGCGGCGCACGCTGGCACGAGTACGAGTGGACAAGAAAGAGACGCATGATTGTGAGGACGACGACGACGACGACGACGACGACGACCTTGACAACAGCAGCGGTGGAGGCGGCGATGACAATAATTGTGGCGGCGATGCGATGGTGGCGGCGATGATTGCCACCATCGCAAAGCTGACGACACCAAGGAGAACGAGGCAGGCGAAGAAGCTGGTGAAGCAAGGCTGGCCAGAAGTAAGCAAAACAAGCGGACAAAGATAGCACATGGAGGGGGAGAGGAGGTGCAGGAGGAGCAGGTGCCACGTCAAACCTCATTTCGCTCAGCTGCCAACGTCGCGGTCGTAATCGTTAGCATCGTCTCTGTCTGCACGGATGGCGGAGCAGCAGCAGCAGGAAGCGGGGAGCAGCGCCCCCCTGTAGAGCCCAGAAGTGAAGACAGGAGGCGAAAGAGGAGCACCAGCGAAGCCTTGACTGTGGATTCTGTCCCAGAAGGTGCGAAGCAGGGGAAGAAAGTGAGGAAAACAGAATACAGCAGGTTCGTGTCGCGACGACGCTGGAGCTGTCTTCTGACACCGCGTTCGTATCGGACCTACAGATGTCGCCAGCATGGGCGTCGCAGGTGGGCGCCGTAGTGCCGGGTATGTGATTGGCTGGCAAACACACATTACTACTACAAGCACGAAAATGCACAAAACTACAACAAGCATGTGGCCGACACACACACACACACACACACACACACACGGAACCACTGGAATTCCTAAATGAGAATGCGACCCCTGATGACTCCAAACAGCTGAGCCCCAACAAAACATAAACATAAGCTACAAATGAGGCACCGGCGTTGTCCTGTCTACATAAGCGCGTTCACCAAATCTCCACCAATCATGGCAGAAATTGGAGCTCCAACCTTCTCCGGCATAGTGTCGGATGTCGTCACCCCACCGTTTCCTCGGATGTCCTGGTCTGCGCCGTGCTCCACTGGCTGGGTCGCATTGTGGGTCCCATCGCAAAGTTTGCGCTGTCCACTCGTTGTGTTATGCACTGCATACTTCTTGGGCCCATTTCAATTTCCGCTGTCGCTGTATCATCACCCAGTTATCGACGTGTAGACACCCAAGAAATTCCTCTGCCCCCTTGGTGGATCGTCGGACGCAGTCTGCTCACGGTTCAAGACCATCTTCGTCCTGAATTGTCTGTTCCACGACATCTTTTCAGCGCTCCCGGCGCCTCAGCGTGCGCAACATAATACGCAACATCTGTCGTCGCGTCCTCCGGAGTCGGTTTTCCATGTCCACTGTCATAATCCAAGCTTCGCGGCCGTAAAATATAAGTGGAAATATCGCCCCATGAAAGAGTCGGAGTCGTTTGTTTATCGAATACTGTTTCCCTGATAGCTCAGATCGCAAAACAAAAAGTCTCTTCCATGCAGTAGAAATGCGGTTGTCAATCTCTGTGGCATGGTGCTCGCTGAATTGACGCTTCCGTCCCAAATATTTCGTAGATTCGCATGGCGGCAATTTCTCGATACACTTTCCATTGACCGTCACATGGATGGGTGCTCTCTGTTTGCGAGACCCTCGATGGCCACTGTCGAGGATCTTCGTCTTGTCTGGATGTAATTCGAGCCATGCCTTGTAAGCCTCAACGCTGAGATCTCCCAACATCCTGGTGTGTCGCAGCGACCCTGCAACCAATAGAATGCCATCTGCAAAACGTAGAACTGTGAGTCTTTCGCGCCCAAGATGCAGCTGCAACCCAATCCGTTTCGATGCCCACTTTTTTCCTTTGATGTTCCGCATGATACTTTCTGAAACGCAACTAAATAACAACGAGCTCAACGGGTCACCTTGCTTCGTTCCCTTCTGTATGTGGAATTCCCTGCTCGTTCTGTCTGTTCGAACTGAAGCTGTCTGTCCGTCGTGGAGCTTGGACAAAAGTTGCACGTGCGCCGCAGGCGTGTTAGGAGGTGCAGCGGGAGGCAAACTGTGGAGAACAATGTGTTTTATTCAATGCATGGAATAAGTGTGAGAAAAATGTGAAATCGCGAAGCGGGCGAAGTATGAGTGTGAAAACGCAAAGAGATCAGTGTGTGAAATTAGATGCGCCCAAGAGAGAGAAGTGTGACTTCGGCGATTATTCAAAGTACAAGTGTGACTTCAACGAAAATCCCAGTACAAGTGTGACTTCAGCGAACAGCCGAAGTACAATCTCGCAGTAACGTTCACGTTCTCAGCCGCGGCATTTTACCGCAATGGCGCGAACGGCACGAGCTGAAAGCACTCAACGCCCATGGTGTCCAACGCGCGTCTTTCCTGACTCGCAAATTCACGTGTTGGCGCGCGCGACGCCCCCGGGCAAACATGAAGGGGCCGCGTCGCAATCCGTCGGGTTGCGCGCCCCCGCATCGATCGAAGCCGATTTCTCCGCGCCCGCCCGCCTTTGCCCCGCGATTGCCTTGCTCGTGAAACGCGCAAGTGCAGCGGTCCATTGATGGGACCAGGAAGGCCCCATACCGAACAATTCGCTCCACCGCGCCCCTGATACACCCCGGAAGAGGGCGAATCCGAGGCCGGCGAATCGACCAAACTTCCTCCGCGCGGGCGCGCGGATGGAGGCCGCCCAGAAGTCGTCAACGACGCAGCCCCGATCTTGGAAACCAGCAGCCATGGCAACGAAAGGGATGGAAACGCGCGAGGCGAAATCAGCGCGCACACACGCGCGCGGCCGCCTCTTGGCCCCCGGCGCGTCTCCACGCAGGGGCACAGGACAAGCGAACCCCCGATGCGGCGGGAGGAGCGCTCGAGCCAAAAAGGCAACGGAGAAGGTGCCGAGGGGAGAAAGAGGGGCGGGGGCGAAGAGAGAAAAACAACTTGGGAAAGTGCGGGGAGGGAAAAAAGGAAGCGGAGAAGAGACGGAAGGGCGGGACGAGAGAACGCGAGCGCCAGGACAAGGGAGGAAAGCCCGGGCGGGCAGACGACGAGCACCGTGGACCAACAACCTGCTGGAAACAGACACACGGGAGAAATGCGCCCAGTGGAGGGATGAAGGTAAGTTGAACGTGAAAGCATAACTACAGGACCCGAGTGCGCGGGCGTGTCGGGGGGGGGGGGGAAGC